AAAAAAAAAAAAAAGTCACAACATGGGTGCATTGTGGGTCAAACTACATTCAACCTATAAAATTATAGCTGCTTAGCTAACACTGATTCAATAAGGAAATCAGTCACGTAACGAGGGTTCATGGAAAGAACAAAGGCATTTTGGGGAAGGGATGGGTCCAGATTCTCTGGTCACCCACCTGGGCGACTAATACCTAGCTGGACTTCCTGGACCAGGTGGTGCTAATTACAGTATAATCTAAGTTGCTGTTTATCCCTCAGGGAAGCATGCAAGCCTGGCCATTGGTCTCCATCTTATGCCATCAGCTACAACCTTGCTCTTTCTTTTCTGTGCTGACTTCCTGGAGGCCCCAGTCCCTCTCTGGCTGTATATCAATTTCTCTCTGACTTAGCTGTCTATAGTAATACCACTGGCACTCTGGTGGGGCAGAATTCTAATTGGCCTCCAGAACTCCTGGGCCCCGGTACAAATATACCTTCTTCTTCCAATTTATTAATCAAATACTAAATTGGGTGCTAATATAAAGGGACTTTGTAGGTGCAATTAAGGTCTCAAATCAGTTGCTTTTATAATAGATTATCTTTAGGGCCTGAACTACACAGGTGAGTCCTCAGATAGGATGGGGCTTTTCCTGGAAAAAGATATTTTAATATTTTTCCCTCTGGTGCTGGGGACTGGACTCAGGGCCTGGTGCATGCCAAGCACTCACTGTACCTCTGAGCACCCTGCCCCCCCGGGGAACAACAAGAGATCTTAAAGAGAGAGGGGATTTAGTATGAGGGAGGTTTTCCAGGATGGAAGGGGCCACAGAGCAAGGGCAGAAGAATGGCCTTTTGAGGCTGAGAACAACCCCTGGCCAACAGCAAGGAGGAGGCATCTCAGACCTGTAACCTCGGTGACCTGAGCCCGCCTGAACCTGACTGAACTTGGAAGGGCAACTGCATGGCGGATGGGAGCATGGCTGCCTCATACCTTGGTCACCACCTTGCGAGATTTCTGACTAGAGAACCCACTACTGCCTGGATTTCTGACTGGCAGGATTTCCAGATGATAAATGGTTAGGGTCTGAAGCAGTTGACTTTGTGATTTGTTCCGCAGTAATGGGAAACCAATATACAGCACACATTGAATAGTTAACAAGAATTCCTGCCAGTGACTAATTTTTTTGTGGGAAAGCTTTTAACTCAAAATTCACTTGGTTGAGGTGATCTCTTTCAGCATGACAGTGTTAGCACCTTCGGACTGATTCTCCCACTGAGAAGACTACAAATTCTATAAAGAAGTACAAACAACTACCAAGGGATTCTGATGGGTAATGGAAATCAGCAGATGGGCTGGGAACATAGCTACAGCCTAGGAATCGGGCAGATGGTTGAGGAGAAGGGACTCTGGAGCAATGCCAGGGTCTTGGAACACACTGACTCTGACTGGTACTTTCTCTCTTACTTGTTAGGGACTGGGATTTTCGTCCTGAGTACGCACGACATGGTACCAAAGGGCACAGTTATGAGGCACCATTGAGACATCTATGTACTCGTCCTGCTACAAGCTATCCCAAAGAGTATGTAGGAGTTTGTATTTTCCAAAACTGGCTGTGACTATGTCCCCCATCGCATGACCTTTATTTTTTAATGTGGTAAAATACACATAACATTTACCATTTTAAAATGCACATTCCCAGTGTTGTGCAACTGTCACTGCGATCCCTGTCCAGAACTTTGCCCTCTTCCCACACTGAAACTCTGTCTCCATTAAATACTATCTCCCCTGGCAACTATCATCCCACTTCTGTCTCTATTAATTTCACTTCTATAGGTACCTCACATGAGGGAATCATCCAGGCTTTGTCCTGTTATGTTTGTTGTATTTCACTTAACACCGTGTCCCAAGGTTCCTGTGCGATATTCTCATAATGAGACTGACAGCCCTCCGGAGAGGTGGAGAGTCCATGCTCCTCCCCCTGAGTCTGTTTGGCTGTGTGACACAAAGTAAGTGATGTTAAGCCACCTCCCAAGCTGGATCAGGAGAAGCGATGTCATTTCCTTCTGGTTCTCTTGGAATGCTCACTTTTGGAATCCAGCCACCAAACTTGGGACATCCTGGCAGCTCATGGAAGGGACCGCGGAGAGAGGAGACGAAGCTCCACACTCACACCCACGCTACAGCTGAGCTCCGTATGACAGCAGTGCCAACCTGCCAATAATGAGACAGAGCCATCTTGAAAGTGCCAAGGCAGTGACACAAGGATCCCACCAGGAAGGGAAACGCAGCACAAAGAAATATCTGACAAGTGATCGTCAGGAATGTGGAGAGGTAACAAATTGCCATTAAAACCCTGCCAAGGATTTTGAGCCCAGGGTCAGGTGCCAGTTTCTTGGGAGATGTCCTGGGAGACCTGGTGGATTGCTAGAAGAGCTCACATGCCAGCTTTCTTCCATTCTTTGAATGTCAAGTTCATTTGCACCTCATGGATTTTTCCCATAGTTTTCCTTTTTCTAAAATGCTACCCTCCAGATTTCCAAGTGTCCCAGCCATCGTGGTCTGCTTCCCCCTGGGGTAGAGGTTTTGGCACAAACCAATGTTTCAACCTACACATCCAGTTGCAGTGAGTATAGCCAGTTGCCTAGCAAAAAATTTAGAAAAGAGGAGGCGGGGATTTGGCTTAGTGGCACTGTACCTACCTCACAAGGGCAAGGTCCTGAGTTCAATCCCCGGTACCGCAAAAAATAAAAGAAAGAAGGGAATGGCAAGAAAGAAGAGTAAAAAGGAAGGAAATCTTTAGAGGGATGCCAGAGGACTCTAATTTTACCAGCTCTCTTTACCAGTTTAGGTAGAGACCTAGAAGAGATAATGACAAAAGTTGTGGGAAACCATATAAAATTAAGTACTGTGTTGATTATAATGGACAACTGAAAATTGTTAAATGATTAGTCTGTTGCTTGTTAGTTTTACATACTAGGCATTCGATGCAACTTTAGTTTCACAATTCAGGTCCACCATAATTACTTATCTTGATATTTCTGTGAAATATGTACCTAGGAGTTGCATTGTTTTGGGGACAGACATTCAGCTTTGGTAGTTACTCTCATTTTCCGCAGTGCCTTTATCAGTTTACTCTCGCATTAACAGTGAGTCAGTGGTCTAATTGTTCCAAATTCCCATCAGTCTGCCATTAGGCAGGCTATCATTTTAGCCTTCTTTGTAAGTTTGTAGTAGTATCTCATGCTTCTAATTTGAATTTCCCAGTGGCTGAGACTGAGTGCCTTTTCATATTTTTTAAAGGCCATGTCTTCTTCTATGAAGTGCCTACTCAATTATCTTGTCCCATGTTTGATTATTTTTGTAAAAATTATTTGTATATTTTATATATGCATCCATATATATGCACATAAATATATATATATATATATATCCTTTATCAGATGTACACACTTCACACGGATATTTGTGACAATGCTGCTAGTAATACTGAAAAACTTGAAACAGCTCATTTTTCCAGCAGTGGCAGAATGAATAAACCGTAGCACACACATTGAGTATTCTGTATCCAAAATGCTTGGACACGAAGCGATTCAAATTTTAGATTTTCTTTGGAGCTTGGAATTAGCACATATATCTTGAGATATGTCGGGGATGCCACCCAAGTTTAAACATAAAATTCATTTTTATTTTACATACACAAAGTCTGAGTAATTTTGAGCCGTATTTTTAATAGTTTTATATTTGAAACAAAGTTTCATGGTGTGAAGTTTTCCACTTGTGGCATCATATCAGTGCTCAAAAATTTTGGGATTTTGGAGAATTTTGGATTTTGGATTTTTGGAATAGAGATGCTTACTTGTATTCTTACAAAGGAATTCTATACTATTGCTACACAATACTATACCATTTCTATGAGTCTCATAAATATACAGTTGAATCAAAGATGTTAGACACCAAAGAACTTATACCGTGTGATTCCAGTTCTATGAAGTTCAAACCAGATGGATCTGTGGTGTGAGGTGCCAGCTATCTTTGAGAAGGGTGGGTGACGAGGGTTGTGATGAGGGGTTGGGTGCTGAGGTGTTCTGTGTCTTTTTGATTTCTTTTTGGTACTGAGGATCGAACTCAGGACCTTGTGCTTGCAAAGCAGGCGGCGGCACCACTGAGCTAAATCGTTGGCCCTTGTATCTTTTTTCCTTTTTCAGACAGGGTCTCGCTATGCAGTTCAAGCTGGCCTTGAACTCACTATGTAGCCCAGGTTGGTCTCAAACTCACAGTTTTCCTCCTGCCTCGGCCTCCCGAGTGCTGGGATTACCGGTGTGCGCCACCAAGCCCAGCTCGGGATGTTCTAGATCTTGAGCTGAGTGGGGCCACACGGCTGTGATGAGTTTGTGAAGATTCAGTGGGCTACACGTTAATGATTGTGCGCTTTCCTGTAGTATGTTACGTTTCAGTACAAAGGAGTTTACAGAAACAATTCCTGCCTAATTTTCACAAAGCCCTAAGAGCTTAACACACAGACAGGCCCTGATGTTTTCTTCTGTACTCAAAAGTTTCTCACACTGTTCCTGTGTCAGATCTTGGTGTCCATGGAAACGAGGCAGAGAATGTGCAAGGAGACAAGATCGGAGTCTGGGAAGTACGGCGAATCCCACAAAGATGGACGCTCAGCGCCTCTCTGCCCTGGACACAGTGCCCACTCAGCGCAGGCAGCGCCCTAACTGGACTATCCACGCACCACACTAACAGTTGGCTGCCACCATTTACACCCGTACCTGCTTCCAGCCCACCCCCATTGCTGGTTTCCATTTCACTTGACCCAGTAGGAAAGTTGGCCTGACAGGGATTTGAAATTAAAAAGGCCTCCTCTGGGTCAGGGGTACTAACTAGAGGTCACTTGTTGATGAGCTCAGCTCTGAGGTTACCTTAGTTACCTACCTTGGGGCAGCTTAGTGAATGTTACAGAACCCGTGTTCCACAATTCTTCAGCTCCTTGCTTGGAGCTTATTAATTTTTATTTTAAACATAGTCACAGCACCTTGTTATTTGATTTTTCTAGGCTTACAAAAGGACAGATTAGAAGAGAATGGGTGAAATTCTCCCCGAGGATGCACATGCATCTGGCTCTGTGAAGTCTGAAAATGACTCTGAATACATCTAGGTTTGAGGGTGTGTCTGCACACGTGTGGGAGCCAGTGTGTATACCAACGTGTTGGTTGGGATGAATGTGTCCGAGAGCCTGCGTACAGCCTGTGTGCCTGCTGGTTTGTGTGCACACTGGCTGCATGGTATGTGAGGACATTTGTGAATGAGTTTGTCATCTTGTGTTTTTAATGCATATGTGTGCAATCAGATGTAAAACATGTAAATGAGAATTTACACTTTTGCGACTCTGGGGGAGATAATGACAGGCTGCTTATAAGTTTATTTCTTGGAGCAAAAGTGTAAATTTGCGTGTAGATTTATATAGGGAAAGCTCTAGGCAAAGTTTTCAAGTCATATGGTGGGACCATATGGAATTGCCATTTTGTGGGTTAAAAATGGTTAACTGCTCAGGGATTTTTGCATGATTCAGCCTCATCTGTGTGCACATGTACATGTGTGGATCACATACATAACTTCAGGTTGGCATAGCCTCTTTACCACCTTTGTTTTATTATCAGAACTAAGAAGGAGACAACTGCTATGGGTGTGAGACCCCGGGGACAATTTAATGTGGACCTTGAAGGAAAGGTAAGACATAAAAAGAATGATGAGAGACACAATAGGAAGTTGCCTAAGGGAGACATGGGAGATGAGGTTGAAAGTCCTCTACCCTGGGGAGCCTTCTGCGACACCTGCTTTGTACCCATGCATGCCTGCTCTGCCTCTGCCATGGGTGAACCCCTGGGACTTCCTCTCTGATCACATTTGTCACACGGGACTGCACTGCTGTTTTCATTGGCTGTCTTCCTCATTAGGCAGTATGTTCCAAGCTCGCCTTGTCTCTCAGCTTCATTCATATTCCCAGTGCTTTGTACAAGAAACTCAAATTAGTATTTGTTGGGTAAAACCTAGAAGGACAAATGAGCTTTGTTGAGAGACACTAAAAAGTATCTAAGTAAAAGAAAAGATATCTTGTGTTTGTTGCTAGGAAAAAAATGCAAAAATACAAAAATGTCAGTGCTTTAGTCCTAGGGTCCAATCCCCAGCACCTCAATGAAAAAAATAATAAAAAAGAAGTGAGCTTCTCTTGGATTAGTCTATAGAATCAGTGCTAATACAAGTGCAATCCCAAATGGGACTTGACAAGATGATTCTAAATTATACATAGAAGAACAAAGGATCAATAATAAAGATTAAAGATACTCCTGAAAAAAAACACAAGTTGAGAGGACTACCCTATTAGATAGCCAGGCTCGTTTTAGGCCCTCCAAGAGTAGATTCGAGCTTAGCACTTGTATCTTCAGATCCCCCACCGTTAGGTTGCTCCTTACCGTGAAGCATTTGTCTTTGTCTGCTTGATCTCATGCTACTCAAGTCTGAGCTGTTTGTTGACCCTCTCTGTTTGCCTTTTTCTCTCTTTGAATTCACTAACTCCTTCTTGATATAAGCCCTGGCCTGTCCCTGCTCAAATATCACCCCATACATAGAGTCTTCTTCCTCCAAACTCTTACGCTACTTTTTGTTCTTGCCACTTATTTTGCTATTTTATCATATATAGCACAGGAATAGGAGGAAAAGGAGTGGGCTGCATACAGGTGGGTGTTCAGAATTAGCCCCATGGAGATCTGTTGCAGCAACTCAGGAGCCACACGGCTTCTTTGAGCTCCCAAGATCTCCCAGAAAGCCCACTCTGTGCCACTGTGCACTCCCCACCTGATTTGTGCAGGACGCAACTCCTCATATGATAACATCTTATAGACTAGGTGGTGACCTTGAACTTGTCAGCATGCAGGAGCTGTTTTCACCTCTCTTCATCTGGTTAACAGTTTTTCTGTGCAAACAAAAAGACTGAAGGGTCAGAAACAATGTATGTGGCTGTCAGAATGTATTTCAGTGGTATTAGGACACCACCATAAGCAGCTAGTTAAAAAAAGAAAAGCCCTCTCCCTAACACTGATCTCTGAGATAAGGCAAAAATCCAGGGACACACCATCACCTTGTGTGATTTTCCTTGTTTGCTTGTTCTAAGAATCTGAGTACTTATGGTTTTGAATGCACAGAGGCACTCTGGAAATTGTGGGTCCCCCAAGGAGAGGGGATAAGAGTTTGGAGATAAGTTTTCACTAAATACCATTTTGTATATTTTTGTATTTTGTACCTTGTGTAGCTAGAGACTAGTTAAAAAATAAATGTGCAAGAGAAAATATTGGGAAACAAAGACAATGGAAACAAGCAGCAAATTATGTGGTGTCAAAAGGCAGAATTTTTATTTTTGTACTGGATCTTAGGAGCCCCAGAGGAATGCGGGCAGAGCCCCTGGTTATCACTGAGATGAATGTGCTTCTGTGAAGACCTTCCAACCTGACCAAGAAGACTTCCACTGAAGTGTGCGGCAGATGAGGCACAGAGCCAAGATCCGGCTGCAAAATTAAATACCTCTGAAAAGGCACTAGCATCAGAATTTCATTTGGGAGAGAACAGATTGCTAGCTCTGATTATTCCAGAAAGAGAACCAAATTAATAAGCATACTAAATTGAGGAAGTCAAAAATTCTCCCTGTGCAGTTGCAAGCCAGACACTAGTTTTTAACCTTCCTTTCGTTGGAAGGGAAAGGAGTTTTGTTACTTCTGCCCAGTTCCTTGTGGAGACCCTGTCAAGCAGGCAGTGAACTGCGGCTTCCCGCTAATGGTTACCGGAAACCAGAGAAGTTTATATAAGGAGCAAGCCAGGTCATGAGAAAAAAGTACTGAAATCACGGTCAACACAGGGCAACAGTATCGGGATGGAAGCCTTGCGACATGCCACTAACCAAGTGACAACCCCAGAGGTCTCCTTGAGAAGGGATTCATGGGCTTCAAAATAGAAAACCTGTTAGTTTGATGTGATCATGTAGCAAAAGAATGGATAATTTGGAGTATTCAGTGCAAAATTTATAACCATATATTCAAAAATTAACCATATTTGGTTATTAACCATAACCAAAATTCATAACCATAGCCAAAATTCATAACCAAGGAACATGTAATGATGTGTTCTTGCTGCAGGGGAACAGGTTTAGGTGATCAGGGGCACTTGAATCAAGATAATTAATCGAGAATGACTTTATACTAAGAAACACTTAACAAAGACATTATCACAACCTCAAGGGCCCTGCTGAATTCTCATTATTGGTAAATTATTCAGAGTTAAAGAAGAGAAAAAGAAACTGAAATAGCCCTTAGAAAAAGAACAGATGGAGGGCTTGAGGCTGGGGACAGCGAAGGAAGCAGTGTAGACCGGCCTCTGCCCTGCAAGCCAGACCTCTGACCCTCAGTCTCAGTGCCAGGGGTCAGTTTTCTCCAGCCCAGTCAGGAAGCTCTGGAGAACCAACTGGGCTCAGTCTGGAGACACACAGCCTGGTAGATTTTCTGTGCCACATGCAGTATCACTATGGATGCTTGGCCACTCATCCCTTGGCGTTTTTCAGATCCCAATTTGACCATGTTTGGAGCTCGGGAAAATAGCAGATGGTTTTATGTTTGCTTTTGGTATGGCAAAGAGGACCACATAGCAAGAGGCTATGGTCTTAAGGATTTTGGCCTAGTGAATGTATCCTTTCTTGCCTGTGACAATGTAACTTCTCCAAAAGAATTTCCCCATTCCTCAACCGTAAGGACTTTAAGGATAAAGTATGAATAACTAAGAATCTGGCAGCAGCTCTAGAGGCCTCTGAAAAGACTTGAACTCCCCAATGGGGACTATAAGAGAACAGTAAATGGCCTAAATTGGGATGTGTCACTCTGTGTGAAGAGCCACAAATGTTTGACAAAAGAGAAAGGAAAAGTTGAGAGTAATGAGGAAACATGGAGATCAAGACAAATGAGGGGAAGGAATTTTTTATGAAGTTGCTGTGAGTTATGCATAGGTCTGTTATGGTTATTACTTGAAATGTCTCCCCAAAAGGCCCATTGTGTCGGAGGCTCGGTTGCTGATGGGCTTTGGGGAAGTGATTGCATCATGGGACTGACTGCATCACTAGTCTAGTGATGAGATCATAATTTATGGCACCACTGGGAGGCGATGGGAACAGGAATTGGATACTAGTTCTAGTCCTGGGTCCCTACCTCTTGGGCTCTCTCACCCTCTCTGCTTCCTGGTTGCCATGTGTTGAGCAGCTTGCTCTTCCAAGCCCTTCGGCCGTGATGCTCTGCCTCCCCTCGGGCCCCATAATGGATGCAGCCAACCATGGACTGAAACTGCTGCAACCATGAAAAAAATTAGATTTTTCCCTCTTTAAATGGTTTATGTGAGATATTTTGCCACAGTGATCAAAAGCTGACTAGCACAAGATCTTTATTAACAGTCTTTAAAGGATACAAGTAGAAAAAATAAAAGATACAAGTAGAATTGGAGTTCAAATCCTTTTTTGTTTCGGGACTTTATTTATTTGACTGGGACACCATCAGAGACTGGAGACTACAGGAACCCTGGCTTCCCTTTGGGATACACCAGGCTCCACTCTTTCTGGAAGCAGTGGGGATTAAAATGAAGAGATAATATTTTATGCTTCGTAAATATTTGTTGTTGAATAAATAAATACATAAATTAAAAATTATGTGGAGCCAAGAGATGCAGTATAGGAGGAACAAGCAGTAAATGGAAGAGGAGATGAGGTTATTATACAGTAGCAAAGCACTAAATGGGTAAGTGGGGTCACAGAGTAGAAGAGGGTGGAAATCAGGAATAGCAGCAGTTGTGTGGAGCATGAAAGTGGATGTGGCTTTACACACAGAGCAGAGAGACAGGCACCAAAAGCATAGCTCCTTTTGGCCAAACAGAACCTTCAATGCATTCATTCATTGATTCATTGATTTAGCAAACACTTGTGGAAAAATTACTTACTTGACAAGTATTGTATTAGGGGCTAGAGACTAATTATAGCTAAAACACAGAAGCTGGGCATGGTGGTGCATGCCTGTAATCTCAGCACTCAGGAGGCTGAGACAGGAGGATTGCCAGCCTGAGTTTGAGGCCAGCCCGGGCTACATAGTGTATTCAAGGCCAGGCTGAACTACATAGCCAGACCCTGTCTCAAAAAACAAAAAAAAAGTCTGACGTATGAATCTTTTTTCTTTTTTTTATTTGAGGGGGGTGGGGTACCAGGGATCGAATTCAGGATCTTGCACTTGCAAGGCAGGCAGCAGCACCCCTGAGCTAAATCCCTGGCCCCTGACTGTATGCATCTTAAAGTCTAGGGGAGGGCAGAGCAAAAGATAGCCCATGACCACACCCATTTATCTACGTATTATCCATGCTTTAAAAAAAAAAGCAGTCCACATACCATAGATTCATTCTTTAAAGTTTACAACTGAGTGGTTTTTGGGACATTCACAAAGTTGCACAACAACCATTATCTAATATTGGAACATTTTCATTACTCCAAAAAGAAACCGCATACCCATTAGCAACCACTCCCATTCTCCTCTACCATTCCCCAGTCTGTGAAAAACATTAACCTACTTCCCGTCCCTATAGACTTGCCTCTCCTGGACATTTCATATAAATAGAATCATATTGGGCTGGGGATTTAGCTCAGTGGTTCTGCCGCCTGCCTCACCAAGCGCAGGATCCCGAGTTTGATCCCTGGTACCAATAAATAAATAAATAAATAAATAAATAAATAAATAGGATCATATGCAATTGGATCTCATGTCTGCCTGTTTTCACTTAGCATAATGTTTTCAAAGGGTATCATGTATTGGCATGTCTTCTTTTTTCCTCCATGGCAGCTTTTGCACTATATTGGCAGAGTTACATGGCTGTGACAAAGACTATATTGCCAGAAAAGCTTAAAATGTTCACTATTTACTAAACACTATTTTAAATAAGTGTTTATGAACCATGTCCTAAGGGAGAAAAAAGACATCTTAGGATCTTGGAGTTGGAGAAAAGATTGTAGGGCAAGTTTGTGAGTTCAGTATTTCACTTGATTCAGAATCTTCTCATTAGCATCTTTGTAGAAGTCTTATTTTGCTAAAAGAATATCATATCTTAAATGTTTTCCTTTCTTTGCCAATAATTTATGAGAAAATATTAAGAAATAACTGATCCCATGCCGGGAATTTAGCTCAGTGGTTCTGCCGCCTGCCTCACAAGGGCAAGTTCAATCCCCGGTACCAAAAAAAAGAAAGAAGAAATAACTGATCCCTAATGCAGAAGTGATGAGAAACTTGAAGGAAAGGAGGAATTTGGATCATAGTCGTACCAATCCCTTAGATTTCAGAAAGCTAGATCTTACAATGAAAAGCAACTTTGATATAATGGTTAATAATTCAAAAAAGGTATGGGATAAATAAATGGAAAGACATCTCTGTGTTCATGGGTCAGAAGACACTATTGGTAAGATGTCAGTGCTATCCAAAGTGATCCACAGATTCAATCTGATTCCAACCAAGTCCTGCAGAATTAGAAAAATCCATCATAAAATTTATATCAATATTATGGCAACCTGCATAGCTACAACAATCTTAGGGAAAAAAAGAACAAAATTGGAAGACTCACATGTCATAATTTCAAATGTTGGTGCAAAGCTACAGTAATCAAAACAGTATGGTATTGGTGTAAAGACAGAAGTATAAACCAATGGAAAAGACTAGAGAACCCAGAAATAAACATATATAGGATCAAATGATCTTTAATAAGGGATGCCCACACCATTCCATGAAGAAAGAACAACCTGTTCAAAAATGATGCTTGGCAAGAAATAATCCTATTCTGGTTATCAAGAATTCAAAAAATCAGACTGAATCAGTAAAAACAACCTCAGGGGCCCATAAACAGTATCTGTCAACTCAATCTGTTGCTTTTAAATGCTAAAAAAAGGAGAATGAATGGTATAAGACTAGACAAGACTGACAATGGATTAGAGTTTTTAGAGACCTCCTTCACCAGGCTAATCAGCACTTGATCAGAAGTCCAGGTTAGTATGTGAAGCCACAAGTGTTATTATTATTGTGTTACCAACAGTTGCATCAACTATTAAAAAATTACTCCCTTTAAAGAGAAAACCGCAAGCTATATTTGTATCCATAATTGACATCTGGATTTGGTTTATGTTTGATGCATTGATTGGAAAATTTGCAAAACAAACTGTCATAAAAATTCCTTATTCTGATGATGCATAAAAAAGAAAGAATCAAAAAATGGAATCACATCAAATTAAAAAGCTTCTGCACATCCAAGAAAACAACCCAGTGCAAAGACAACCTACAGAATGGAAAAAATTTTGCCAGTTACTCCTCAGAGAACTAATATCTAAGATATATAAAGAACTCAAAACATTAGACCCCTCCCAAAATAAAAGACCCAATCAAAAAATAGGCAACCAAAATGAACAGATACTTCTCAGAAGAACTACAAAAGGCCAATGAATACATGAAGAAATATTTGACATCTCTGGCCATTAGAGAAATGCAAATTAAACCAACACTGGCTACCACCTTACTTCAGAAAGAATGGCCATCATCAAGAAATCAAAGGATAACATGCTGGCCAGGATGTGGAGGAAAAAGGAACTCCTCTAAATTGTTGGTGGAAATGTAAACTAGTACAACCACTATGGAAATCAGGATGGAGATTCCTCAAAAAACTAAAAGTATAGAAATTCCAGCTGGGAATAGTGGTGTATGCCTGTAATCCTGGCCCTTGGGAGGCTGAGGCAGGAGGATCACTGCGAGTTTAAGGCCATCCTGGGCTACATATCAAGACCTTGTCTCAAAAAACTAAAAAAGAAAGTCCATTTGACCCAGCTAGTCCCCTTCTAGGAATCTTCCCAAAAGAGTTAAAGTCATCATGTTACAGTGATGCACAGATACTCATATTTATAGCAGCATGATTTACAATAGCTAAATCTTGGAAATGTCCAATATATCCATCAACAGATGAATGGGTAAGGAAAATGTGGTGTTTATATGCAGTGACTCTGGCAGAGAGCATAAACTTGAGGCATCTGTAGGTAAATGACTGAATCTTGAGACCATAATGTTAAGTGAATTATCAGACACACAAGTTTAAACATCACATGGTTTCTCTTATACAAAAACCCAAAATATAAAGAGCAAAATAAAGGATAGATAATAGGAAGTGGGGAGAATTTTTTCAAATGGCAAGGGGAACAAGAGATGGAAGGAGTGGGGAGGGAGGGAAGGGAAAGGGATTTTGAAAAAAGACAGACTCAAAGAAATGGGAAGGAGAACAAGTGTTAGAGGGAGCAGGAAGGGAGGGGAGAAGGGAAAGAAGAATTAAGATGTGTTATGTACATGTACAAACTCCCCACAATAAATGCAATCATGAATAACAAATGCTGGCAGGGGTGTGAGGAGAAAGGAACCCTTCTCCATTGTTGGTGGGAGTGCAGACTGGTGCAACCACTGTGGAAATCAGTATGGAGATACCTCACAGAACTAGGACTAGAGATCCCAATTGATCCAGCTATTCCCCTGCTGGGTATCTTCCCCAAAGAATTAAAAGAATCATACCACAATGATATATGTGCACCCGTGTTTATAGCGGCACAGTCTGTAACAGCTAAAGCTTGGAAGCAGCCCAAGTGCCCATCACCTGGAGACTGGATAAAGAAAATGTGGTTTTTTAATAAAATGGAGTACTACTCAGCCATAAAGAATGAGAAACTAGAGACATTTATAACTAAATAGATGCATATCGAGGCCATCCTCTTAAGTGAAATAAATAGGACACCCATGTGTAAATACTGAATAGTTTTCTAGTGTGAGAAACTGAAAGTGTAAATAAGGATTAAAATGAATAATTGATAATTTGAAATAGGAAAAGGTCTAAAGGTGTAGGGGTGGTGGGAGAGGAAGGGGAAAGGGAAGAAGGGAAAGGAAAAATTATGGGAAAAGAAAAAAAATGGAAACAAAGTCTATGTAAATAGGGAAAGGTGGAAGGGGTGAAGGGCACACAGGGAATAGGGAAAAAAATAAGAACCAAGATACATCATGTACAGGTACAAGCACCCAATGATACATGTAAACGTATTGAATACCTAAAATGTACCAATGAAAGAATTTTTTAAAAAAAATTTGCCTATTACAAGTAGGCACAGCATTTCCTACTTTATTACGTTTTCTAGTTTAGCTATACCTGAGCATTTATGTACTAAAATCAAATTATTACATTATAAATACTTTCTCTTATTCCTCCTTTATATTACAGGTAAATACGAATTTTAGGAAAATGTAATTATGCCATCTATATAGCTTGTGAATTTCATTTGGGGAAATTATAAATATAATTAAAAGGTAATTACAGGTTTTATAGGATTAGAACAACTGTACTAGAATGTTAACTCGCATTTTAAATATGGCATGTAGACCTGCAGCCCCCCCCCATATGTCCACATACACTGCGCATGCAAAGCAAAGCCCTACTCCTAGCCTGTTGTTCTAAACGATCAGCTATTCTAACAAACGTCAGATGATGGACGCCGGGACATATGACGCCTGTGGAAAGGCTGAATCTAACTTGTCTTCAAATATCCTTCCTGGCCAGATTCAGGTTCTTGAAACGGAAGCAAACTGAAATAGTTGCGGGGCGGTGTGCGTGTGCGTGTGTGTGTGTGTGTGTGTGTGTGTTAATAATCACTTAGCGTTTGGCGTCTGCAGAAACCTGGATTCCTTCGCACAGCATGCACGATATCACACAGCACGTCACATCAGAGGCAGTTACAATAACATCCTTTCATAATTTTAGTCCCCGCTGCCTTTCAAAGTAACTATCAAACCAGGCTGCAGCCTGCAGATGTGTCGCTGTCCTGCGCTTTGCCAGAGCGAGGGCCCAGAGGGCAGCGTCCCTGAGGACCCGAGTTCGAGCCCCTCGGCCTGCGCCCTCCCCAGCCTTCTCCTCCCGGCTCTTCTCCTCCCTCCCA